GCTACAGATGAAAGTGAACTTTATTATTTTCTATTATTGTTTGAAAACTGTGATAAGGATTCTGAATTTCTCTGCTCATTATTTCCTGCCGTGCCACCATCACAGGTTGAAGTGTCAGAGTTTTTGGGTGGAGGTGTGAAGGTGGGTGTGTGGAAGCAGTAAGAGTGTCACTAAAGTGTTAATTATCACCGTATCCGTGTGGCCTAAACTGCCCCCCAAAAAGACGTGAGTCAGAGACGTGGCGGTTCAGTTACAGACGTGTTGAAGTGTGAGCGGCAGCGAGGTGGTGTTCTTCCTGCCGAGCGGTGATGAACTCCAACCAGAGCTGTTTTAGGCTCGCATGAAAAATTCAGGATGCTCTCTTGGCAACATTCGCCCTACATACGGCAACACGCACATGCTCGCAGCATTATTTCACGTTGCACACATGCAAGCAGGCATGAAACACACACACACACACACGAGCAGGCATGAAACACACACACAAACACACACACAATCATACAAATACAGTCCACACCTGTTTGTCTGTTTGTAAAGACAATGTGCACTCCGACCATCACGCCGGCTTGTTAGCGCTTTCCGTGAAATTACATGACGAGTAATGACATTTTCCAGGTCACCTGCCCCCTGTCGCCGGTGAATCAGTTGAACACAGAGCCCGGCTCTACGTGTTCGGCTCGGATGTGACGGCCTCAACACTTCACGTATGGCCGTGCGTTAAGAGCTCTCAGGTGTTAATGCATTCAAACGAGGTGTCTGTGTTTGCATCCTTCATGGAAAACGGAGACGCCGCTGCAAACATCTCCACAGCAGGCAGGCCAACACCTTTGCTCGCCCTTCCATTTTCATTAGCCCATAATGACAGGAGGTAGATGGAGCAGAGAGAACGAGAGACTGAGGGAGTGTAAGGACGCAGTAATGCTCCCAGTGGAAAGACTATCGAACGCTGATCTGCCGTCCTTGACCATAAATCTCCCTCTGCTGTGTTACATAATACTATACATTAGCATTTTATTAGCTTCCACACAGACATGGCTCTTTGCTTAATATGAAGAGTTAAAAATTAAACACTTGCCTCTGTGTGTGTGTGTGTGTGTGTGTGTATATATACACTCTCCTGATGTACATCTGAGATAAGAGGTCTGAGCAGCACCATGGTGCGTCAAAGCTTTGTGACGGACTGTTTTCCACTTGAGGATTCAGTTCATCTTAAGTAGGGCTGAGTCAGTGTGGGTGTCGACACCTCGGCCATGTCACCTTTAATTGAAAAGTACAGGGCATTTGTTCATGCTGACATCGTTCACATGTCCAGAGGCCTGAGTTATGCCCACTCCAGAAACACCATTTTCATCCTCGCCGCCTACTTAATGCTCTTTCGTTCTGCTGTGTATCTGGGTCAGTCAGTGCACAGAGTCGGGCTGTGGTCAAGTTGTAAGAGGTGAAGATCTCAACTCGGGGAAAAAAAAGAAGGATGTATTACTGCTGTGGATGGAACTGTGTTATCGTTCTGGGGCTGGAAGAATTTTTTTTAAAAACTGTTGACTTTAAATAATGTGAGTGAATGTTGAGAGACGTTTTAATCACATTGTTAAGGATCTCTTTCAAAATAGCATCAGTTCGTCTTGGTGGACTGACATACAGTGTTTGGAGCAGCTCAGCTGGTAATGTTTATTACTCCATGGTTATGCACAGGATAAGTATGTGAGAAATACAGCCCTAAACTTGGAAATAACTTTGTCATGAAAATTCATAGGCTAATAAAGGAGGCGTAGTGTCTGTTAGCATGAAGCTCATCAATCCACCATACACATGTAGGCAAAGGTTGTGTTCATATTTGCATACTCGGTATGGCAAGAGCGAAAAGGCAGGACACTGGAATCAATAGCAGCAGAAAGGAAAAGACGTCACGTGTAATTGAATAGCTTCAAAGACCTCAGGTCAATATGTGATGTTCCTGTGTATCCAGTCGTTAAGCTGTAGCATGTTTTAAACCACTTCGTGTCAGAGATAAACGTAATAAGTTGTGTCCACAAATAAAACACAGAACTCCCGTCCGTCCTCCTCCTCCATCCTCAGTGTTTGGCCTACTTTAGGAACAGTCCTGCTGCCTTGTTGTGGGGACCAGGATTGTTGCTGGCACCGTCGTAGCAACAGTTTCATCAAGTGCCCCACACTGTCAGTAAAATTGATTAAGATGCTGTGAGGACTATAAAAGACCAATATCATGCAAAGCCGCTTATTCCCACTGTGCACGAGCAGTCGGAGACGGAAGATGTGTTTTTATTGAGAAGAAAGGGAAGGAAGTGACTCAAAGCCCGAGTTTGTAACAATAAAAAGTGATCTCTTAATTGCTGCAACAGAGCTGGAAGACTCAAAACACTTTACTGCCCAACAGGTGATGCTGTGCTCACACGGCTCTTGTTGCTGCGGCGTGATCGTTTGGATGCTCCACATCACTGCACAGCAGCATTAACAACTTCTAAGATGAATTGTGGCAAAGACACATTTTGAGCAGAATATATTTATATTTGTAGGCCAGGATTTCAAGATTTTTAAGAACATGTTAAAAATAATAAATACATTTTTTTTTAATCCAGCAGCACAGATCTAACAGTGAGCAAAGCAAGTGAGGAAAATATCTGTCAGACATTTCAGTGTTTTAATGCACCATAGTTGATAAGGCGATAGTGAATAAATACTGCAGTAATATTAAACAATATATTAGATTACACAAAAGATTAGATTTCTTGTTTTTGTATACCACAGGAAAAAAAGTGTAACGAATTCAGAACAGTGCTCCTAGAAATGCCTCACCTGATCTTTGGTAAAAGAAGACAATGACTCTATGTTGTCTGGTTAGCAACACGCTAAAAGAAATCAAGAGTGACACGTTAATTCAAACCTGATTTCTGTAAAAACACAATAATACGGTGCAGGATAATTACTGATGATATTTTTGGTTTGAAATTAAATTGAATCTATTTGCAAATATGAAACATGTGGCCCAGGAGCCACAGGTTGCAGACCTCTGGCCTACTTGCAAGCTATTTCCCTTTTTTTTTCTCCAGTCATCGTAGACTGTATACTTCTGCCTACGTGCATTTAAGGGATAGTTGAGGATTTGGGAAGTGTGTTGGTTGGTATTGATGTTATTAATACTGACTTCACAAAGGGCAGTGCTATTTCTGTGGCGCCACCTGGGAGCTGCGACGCTCACCATCACAGGGAACACAGCCGCTGGCAGAAGGATGTATACCTTAAAGCCTCTTAACAAGAGAGAAGTTCACCTGATAAACACACCCCCACAACAGTCTGTGGTATCGCAGTCAGACAGATTTTTCCATGTGTGAATTGAAGTTAATGTTCCACTACCAGAGTGAGGCTGCGAGGTGCAAATTGTGGCGGGTATCAGTGATGTACATTTGGCCTGTGCCTGTAGCATCTGGCTGTCATGAACATTCAATCTAATCAGAACCACAGTGGGGAGGTTTTCAAATTTACTACTAATCACACGGCTTCATCTACAGGCTCTGCTGCTACAGGTTAAACCTTTAAAGAAAATAGATGCATTTACTTTCTCTGCTTCATTAAATGCTGCAGTGTTATTTTTAGGTCGTACCGCTCAGCCCTAGTCCATTGAGAAAATCTGCGTATGAGTTCTCAGAGGAGCCGGAGGATTTTGGTTCACAGTGTGAGCAGTGTGCAAATGTCACCTTCTGTACAGAAAATGGAAATGTCTAATGGTTAGAAAGTGTGGCAAACCTGTTGTCAGGCAGGCTTAAAAATAATGTAAGGGTTTACTAGCACAACAGTGACCACTGACAGCACCCAGGCAGATCATCAGTGCCTGCAGCAGTCTGTTGGCCAAGGTCACGGTTGATAATATCCTGTATCTCTGGCCTCAAATAAACAAGACCTCAACCCCACCTGAATATACCTTATATTCTATGTCATCATTAGAGTGTACTGTATATATCGTTATATAAAGTTTGATCATTTATTGGTGTTTCTATTATATTACTGGCTGACTGAGTGAGCAGTTGCGGAACATTCAAAGCAGAAAATAATTACTTTTCAGAATCAGAACCTCTTAAAAATTATTTTATGAATCCCCGGGGGAAGTTGTGAAGTGTTACAGCTGAGACCCTTTCAAACGGGGGAAGTGTTACAGCTGAGACCCTTTCAAAAGAGGAAAGGAAATATACAAGTATAAGAAATAGTAAACTGCTGTTTTTTATGAAAAGAGAAATTTAAAACCTTGCATGGAACCTTGGAAAAAGTGGATATGTTTTTTTCTCTAAAGAAACAGACAATTTCTCACTCTCCTTTTTGTATTTTCAGCTGTAGTCAGTCCTACTGTTGTTGTGCTCCTTGTGTAAGTCTTAGCATAAAACACATCATTTTGCTTAAAGCATCTTCCAACATGTACTTTATTTGACCTCAGTTCGAGTTAAATAAGAATTTAATGTTTTTTATGTTACAACCTCTGGCTGTAAAGTTTACAGTATTAGGGGTTGTAGTATAACTCCATTGGTAAACTATTACTTCAGTGATGATTTCATGCTAAAACGCTATTAAGTTGTCCCAGGACACACATGAAGGAGCGCTTTAACACATAATCCTGAAAAAGACATTCCTCCCAATCTAAATAAAGATGCTCAGTTTATGTTTATGTGTGTGTGTCTATGTGTGTGTCTGCTCAGTTTATGTGTGTGTGTCTATGTGTGTGTGTGCTCTGAGGCTAAATTGCATGTTACATTTGTTGCAAAAGAAATATTGCGTGTTCTCTGTGTGCTCATCAAGCTGATGCAGCATCCCAACCTTAAATCAACCGTGTCACAGGGACTCTGTCTTATCATTAGTTTTGGTCATTTCCATTGCACAGCTCATTGTCAAGTAAATTGATGCAAGAGAGTCACAGGCACGCACTCAACACACACACACACACACAGACACATAAAAAACGCGAGAGCGTCTAAAAATAGCAGCAGCCTTACCTTTCTGTACACTATCATGTTGGGGGACTCATCTGCTACCCCGTTGGTGCCTTGCCCACCACTGTTGGTCTGTGCCATGATCCAGTAAGTAAATCTGCCACAGGAAATGTCAGGTTCTCCTGCTGTGGACAGATTGATACTCTCGGTTAGGAAGACAAACACTTAGTTCTCCTCATTAGCCCACTACCCAGAGGTTTGAATTACCTCGACATCTTTGACAATAAAGAGACGTTGATATATGGTTTTCTTCAAGGTCTTGAGAAGGACTTTGTTATGAGGCTGAGGTAATTCCCTATACTTTATGTTTCGTATAAGTACGAACGTCATCAGCAAAAGTTTAAACCGATAACTATGCTGCAGAGTACGGCTGTACGCACAATCCGTTCACGGGTGGATTGATTGTTGACAAAAATCAGTGTCTGAAAAGCTGAAAACCTTTCGCTGTTTGTTGACACCGTTTAGTATGAAAGTGCACCACCTACATGGCACCTGCTGTTATAGGCGCAGTACGAAGGCAACAGCACCACAGAAGGTGAGGTGAAGACCCGGACCCTGTCGTCGGTAAATACAGTGACACCAAACCGTCCCTGGAGGAGGCACTCCAATGCAGCTGAGAAACATCGACTGGAGTAGAGTAACCACAGCCAAACCGTGCAAGACGATGCGAAGACGCATCGCACAAAACATGCACGCTTTAGCAGCTTCATCGTTGTTGCTGCTTCTTGCAACACCCACACGACATTCTTGGCAGGTTTGGGCTGCAACACTAAATAGCCCGTAGCATGCAAACAGCGGAGTCATGTAACCTGTTTTTAACATGAGGCCGTAAGCTGTGCACCGCACTCACCACACGCTACTGTCCGTTTCAGCACCTTGGACAGCTACTGCAAAACCGCCCGCGCCCAGATATCGCTTTTCTTCTTAAATGACGAACAGCGTGTAAATACAGGGAGAACACTGCTCCAACGGTCAGTGGAGGAGGAGAGGAGAAAAGGGGGCTCACCTGAAAAAGAGAAACGCTCAGCCCGTGGTAGGACTATTAAATCCTTGCAGGGGTGGAAGCCTGGCCCTTTGCATTCACTATGTCAACTGGCAGACATGGGAATGTGAGGATTATTCATTTGCAGCGTGAAGAGGCAGACATTCGGCGGATACTTGGTGTGGTAAAGCTCCGGCTCTGTGTCTCTATCTCTCCGCTTGTCCACACGATGCTCTGAGGCACGGGCACGCCGCCTCGCAGCGCCGTGTGCGCGCATCGATCCGTGACCAATTGCGTGCGAGAAATAAATTACAACCAGTTTGGGAAACATACTGATTTTATTTTTGTTTCAGTGTCTTTTAATGTGAATTTTTCTACTGAATGCTGAGGCGCCGAGAGCCCAGAAAGAAGGTATTTGCATAAATATTCGAACAAATGTCATCAAACAGCAAAGGTCAACACACCAAGCTTGCATTTAGTCAACATGTTTATTCTCATAACCGGTACACACACATTAAAAAAAGGGTGGTTCATCAATGGAATGAAAATGTAACTTTGCCTTTTTCTCTTTTGCACCAAGCATAGAAATTACAAATGAACATGCAATTACAAAAAAAAGAAAGAAAACGGATCTAAAAAGGAAGTACGACATAATTACAAAAAAGAAATGGCCATTCATTCCTATGCATTGTCTGCCAATGCAAGCTGTCATAAATCATCTATGGTTTTTTTCATATATCAGTCGTACTGCAGTTCTGCACCAATACATGAATAAACATGAACTTGCTATTGCTTTGAGACATGTAGCTGTCCAGGCGTGAGAGATGACAGATGTGCTCTTTATGTGCTGTATGTGTCTGTGTGTTTTATTTCCTTCCCTGCTCCTTGTTATCATCTTTGTTCTTTCAAGATTGAATCTCTCAGCAGGAGCCATGATCACTCGTCACTTCTCCTTGTTTCTCAGACTAGCGTGATGCTTACAAATGTGTAAAGTTTGTTTTGTTAAACTAATTATTATAGGTTTATTGGTATATTATTATTACTATTTAGGTAATTTATTCAAATGAGTAATTCGATTTTAATTCTGGGGCGTTGTTTTATTTTTTATTTTTTGACTGTTGTTTTGGGTATATAAATGTTAAAAACTAAACAGTTTGTTAAAAAAAAAACTGTTTTTTAAAATTGTTATTAAGTCAGTAGTCATTTTCGTTTTATGCTTCTTCATCTGGTGAATATATTCTTTTAATCAAATCGTTCTATTTAATATTCGGTGTGGGCCAGCGCACAATTCTGGGTGTGCTGTCACTTTAAGTGACTCCATGTCAAACTCGTCTTCCCACAATGCACAGTTCCATTCGTCATCAAACAAGAATGCGGTAACAAAAGAAAACAGTCAAAACAACACCGAGTTGGCATTATCGAGGGCGGTTAAAGTTGGCATTTGCTGAGATAAACACAGTAGCTTCTCCTCCCACGTTTGAGTAACAAGTCATGGCTTTGAAGAGGATACAGAAAGTAAGTGTTTCCGTGTTTTATATTCCTTTTGAAATCACGAGAATTACTGGAACCTTACGCGGAAGTGTCACTCTCACGTTAGCCCGTCTGCTAGCATAGTTAGCTTACTCATCGTATTTGGTGGTGTTCCAAAAGTTGTGTAAACGATAAATCGCTACAGTATTATTCATGACAAAGCTCGCATGGCTAACAGGTTCACTAAACGTGACAGTAATGATAACGTTTCCCAAATACAGTTGATAAATCCGGGTAAGCCAACTTAATCACGTTATCAGCTAAACAGGGGCCTTTTAGCTGGTTAGCTGGACAATCATTTTAAATGTTTTTTTTTTTTTAATAATTCAATGTAACACATTTTTAGATGAGAAGAAACACATTACACGTCCCTAACGTTACGTTACAAAATAATTCAATATAACACATTTTTAGATGAGAAGAAACGCATTACACGTCCCTAACGTTACGTTACATTTTTTTATTGTACAGGAGTTAAACGACTTGCGGAAAGATCCTCCATCATCGTGTTCAGCTGGACCTGTAGGAGAAGACAGTAAGTCGTATAATATTGAAAACTAACTGGATGACATGTAAATAATCACCTGTCATCGGTTTACAGCTCGAGTTGGCTGTTCTTTGTGACTGTCTTGAAGATATATCTAATCGGTCTTCCATTAATGCCCTTTTACATTGTGGATTAATAGATGTGTTTTATTTAGCTGACGTCACAGTGTCAGTATTGAACATTGATTAGGTATCACATATTTCACATCACAAAACTAAATATATAAACATTGAGAAACAACTTCCAAAAATTGCTTTAACATGTCGACGTGTTTTTTTAAACAGGAAGTGTGGGTTACACTGATAACCCATAGTTTCGGTTCAGCGACATTTCAAACCTTCTGGAAACGTCACACACGGGCTGCTTAAGAGAAAGCACTGGTGTTTTAAATGATTCCAGGGAACAAACAGGGGACTGTTGTATGTGCTTGCCCGTTTGAATTCATTATGTAACCTTTCACATAACAGTCCAACCGGGTTGCTCTACAGTTTACCTTATTAAATAACAGTGTCCCACAGTGTATAAACTCACTCTGGTTTCCTTCTCTTTTCTCCAGTGTTCCACTGGCAGGCTACGATTTTAGGGCCGGTGAGTTGTTTGTTGTATTTTCTATTTATGTATATTTTATTCTGTTTCTCTAAATATTGTGATTAATGGTGACATTGTAGTACTTTCTACTCCAAAGAGTTCAGACTGTTACAGTTTATCAAACCCTTACTGAAGCCTGTAGTATGGTATAGACTGCAGTGTTGTTTTTTTGTTTTTATGTTCCACAGATTTACACAAGGTTAGCCAAATTTTGAACTACAAAAGCAGTGCCTTCTTCCTATTACTACATTTAATATAAAAGAGAACTAATAATAAATGAAACTAGTGTTTTTGTTGTACAGTTGTGCTCATTCCAGTATTGTCTGTTCTTTTCAGACTGACAGTCCATACAATGGAGGAGTGTTCTTTCTATCTGTCCATTTTCCAACTGACTATCCCTTTAAACCACCAAAGGTAATGTAATTTAATTAAAGCTCTACTTAGTTGTTTTCTCCCCTCACATTATTACATTTCATAGTGTTTTCAATACATTTAAAATCCAAAAGAATGCCAGATGCTGATGTTTCTTCTGCTGCTGTACGTGAATTGTTTTTATTTTCCCAGGTTGCCTTTACAACAAAAATCTATCACCCAAACATTAACAGCAATGGTAGCATCTGCCTCGACATTTTGAGATCACAGTGGTCGCCTGCATTAACAGTTTCAAAAGGTTGGTGAAAACAAAAACAAACAAACTAGCATTCAAGGACATTTATTGTCAAGGACCAGGATATTAATGAATAAACACCAGACTAGAATAATAAATAGACCAAACTATGAGATGAGCAATGTAAAATGCTGCACTACGAGAACATTAGGGTTTGGTTTGCTTTGTATCTTATACTTAATTACAAGAGTCAAGAAAATTTGTGAAATAATATTTGGCTACAAACACACAATTTTGGACAAAATGGATTATTCAAAATATGTCACATGAGTGTATAAACCAATGCAGCCTGTGTGTGGGAGAGAAAGTGAAACCATGAGAAAGTGAAACCGTTTTGTTTTTAACTGCATATTGACTCTTTGTTTTTCAGTTTTATTATCCATATGCTCTCTGCTCTGTGACCCGAATCCAGACGATCCACTCGTCCCAGACATCGCTCACATCTATAAATCTGACCGACAGAAGTAAGTGCGACACTAATTGACGTCAACGTTAAGTCAGACGTGAATGAAAACTAATTCTGTTTTAATTCCCTTTAGGTATAACGAAGAAGCCAAAAAGTGGACACAGAGGTTTGCCATGTGAAGTATATTCCCAGTAATGATGATTCCTCCTTCTTTTGCACATCAAGACAGTACTGTTCCAACTTATCCACACTGGTTTTAACTCACCATGTTCTACATTTATTTCAATTGAAGCACCACACTCTGCTCAGACATTTTCTTTATCAACATTTAAGTTTTTCTTATTTTCTAAAATGGCCCTTGATTAAAATTTGCTTTATGGATAAAATCACATGATGATTGATATTGTGTTCCGATTGACAAAGAGAGGTTGTTAAACTATTGCATTCAGGCAAAATAAATCATTTTTGATTTAAAGAGCAGTGATAATACATATGACCACTAGGTGGAGGCCTTATCTTTTTATGGCCAAGCCTTTTATATAACAGATTTTCTCTTCCTGGTACACCTTCATCATGTATTTATTTTAGAAAAAAAATCTATTACCTTTTGCTAAATATAAATAAATCCAGTGGGGTTTTTTTTTCTTTCCTGATTTTTTTACCATAATGCTTTTGGTATGTTTTGATCTGCATTTTTTGAGAATTGTCAAGCAAAAATGCTTATTAAAAAATCTATCTAAATATACAGCACTCTATGCCTTATTGCATTATAAGAGTCAATTTAAAAAAAAGCTTAAAGTATGCATAAGCATTGTGTCCTAATGACAAATACAACAAGGTTGAACAACAGCTATAGGCAGAAAATATTTGTTTTTGACCAGGGTTGATGGGGGGGGGAGGTTTTATTCAATTACAAACTCAAACGTTGACTTTTATCTTTGCCTTGATAAAGGGAGTAAATAATAAGAAGCATGTGGCAAAGGTATAAATTAGCTATAACATAATGACTGACAAATCATTTCTGATTGGGCGAAACTGAGATTAAAAAAGTCTTCTATGTATGACTTCACTACGACTAAATTGCAATGGTTTCTGTAATTTTTTTGGAATAAAAAGATGTTATGTTGTCAAGTCCATACAATTTCCTACCTTTACTTTCTCACTCAGTGACTCGGTGTTTTTAAATGAACAGGATGTGGTTATAGGTCGAGGGAGATTTACACCTGATACTGGTTTATTTAAACATAAAGAATAACAGAAATGAGGTCGAAACCACTGCCCTGGGCAGGTTCCTGTAATATAATAAGAAATAACAACAGATATCTGAGCTGGTGACTTTTGAAAAGTAAATTTATCAAAAAAGAAAAACTTCATTTAACAGAACTGTTTATCATTGGAAACTGTCATTAATCATTTTGTGGGTACCGCACAGGAAAAGTACCAAGAATGTTCCCATGCAGGCACCATTCTAGTGAATGACTGTTCAGTGACCCATATAAAACCCTGGTTCTGTATTATTTTATAATGACGCTCTCTGTTTGTATTTGCTGCAGCAGTTGTTCCACAGTCTGTCGACTTACTCCAGATTGTTTTTGTTTCCCTTTCCTGTATTACTTCCTTCTCTACCCTCTAAGAATGTGAAGTGTTTCCTCTACAAGGCAATAAACTGGATGCATGGCGTGTTGGTTGGTATACAGCAAACGGTCAGCCCTAATGAAAACATGGTGTTGAAAATGCAAAGCTATGTGAACTGAAGCCAGAGTTCGTGGTTTTTGACGGGGAAGTCAGAAAATGTAAAGATATTTCTCTCTCTTTTTTTTAACCACCCTGATCATAAATGTTTTAACAGGGAAGATTCAACAGAAAGCTGCCCAAGGCCCCGCACTGGTGACCCTGAGAATGCACCCTCAGAAATGATTGAGAACCATAAATTCTAAACGTTCTACTGAAGGATGTAAGAATCTGCAAGTATCTCCAAAACATCTTTTTGGATTTTCTTTCCCTCCAGAAACTCCAGGTCTAATTTGGGTTTTTTGACTTTTGTGGGGAATATTTCAGCTGTCAAGCTAATCTCCCACTGCATTTGTCATATGTGCAGGCAAAACTATTCCAGAACTTTGGAAAACATCCAGACTCCCATTCCCCACACTTGTATGAGTTTTGGGTCACAGAGAGTTTAAGAGTTTGTCACTAAGCAAAAGAACTGGAAATTAAAAAAAAAAAAAGCTGTTGGTATTTTAATTTTTATAGTCAGTTTTATGCAGGGGGAAAATGAACATGATGACATGAAGTATTTACTGACTGGGCTGTTATAGAATAGGGGTGTCAAACTTCAGCCACACAGTTCCCCTTGAAGGGCTGTTGTGGATGGCAGACTGCATAGATAAAACTCCTTCATAACGATTTCATTAATGTTTCTGCAAGTAATTATTTCTAATATTGTTCATTGCTGTGAAATAATAAAAAAAACTTTTAATTTACCAGGTTAAGAAACTGTGGACAGCATGGACTTGACCTGAGAACTTTGGATATCGATCCTGGGTTGCCAGATCTGGTCCCTCAAGGCTTCGGCTGCATCACCTCGTCTTCCTCTCTCGTATACCGCTCATGTCTACACACAGTCCAAACACATAAATGCACACAAAGAATATATGATATGAAGTGGATACTACAGTCAGCCAAGTTTAGCGGAAGTTTAGTAAATAAATTCATTTAAGAAACAAAAACAATCAAGAAGCCATTTGAGAGACGAAAGAGACGGCGCTTTAAGAACCGTCTCTCTCTCTCTCTCCCTCTCTCTCTCTCTCTCTCTCTCTCTCTCAGAAATTCCCATCACTGAAGGGAAGTCGAAGTTCAGCGAGGGAGGAAAGTGTTTTTTCTGGGAGGAGTCCCGCTTTTTTTTGCAGGATGACACGTGAAACTTTCCTGAGGAGGTGCTTGGTGTGTTTGCAGTGAGCTGAGCGGCTCTCCGTTAACTCCAGAGAGAGAAGCTGGTGTTGGTGTTGGAGGACCAGAGGACCAGAGAGCTCCAGCCTATTTTGAGACGTCCGTCAATGGGGGGAAGCCAAGGGGCTTGAAGAATTTACAACGAGGAAAAACATCTTCACCGAGCGGCCATGAGTTTGCACAACACCGCGAAGTGACGAGATTGGAAGGACACCCTCTCTCCCTCCCTCCACCTCCCCCCCAAAAGTCACGTCTACGCAGACGAAAGTTAACTGGAGCTCGACGCTTTGCTCCAGCTCGACCAGAACTTTGCCTGAAATCCTGCAGCGGCCTCTGGAGCAGTTGCTGCGCAGCACCAATGGCTGCTCAATGTGACACTTTAAGCGGATACTTGCAGCAGTCGGACCAGGGCTCCAACAGCGAGCGCAGCACCGACTCCCCGCTCCCGGGCTCCGAGGAGGATCTGAGCGGACCTCACCCGCTGCCGGACCCCGAGTGGACCGAGGAGAGGTTCCGGGTGGACCGCAAGAAGTTGGAAATCATGCTTTTAGGTAAGAACAGAGAATTAATTGAACTTAAAGTAACGTACACAACGATATATTTTGTATTTATTACAGTTTTGTGTCCACGCATTACCATCACCTGGCGAACTCCCCATTGTTTTCAAACATCAACTGCATAACGGTCGTTTGTTTTGATAACTTTTCTGGATTTCTGAAGTAGTAATAACCATTTGTCTTTTCAACTTTAATGTTTAAATTATCTTTCTTTATCACGAAACTTGCCTGAATGACGTACTCGTGCTCAAAAATTTATAATTAATCAATTGAGAGGAGGAGATAAGTTAATGGAAACACTTGTGCTAAAACAAAACAACGAGAAGAAAGACGTTTTATAACCTATTTCAGAGTTACAATACATTTTGTCCGCTAAACTAAACTTTACGACGTGGGTTAAAAAGTCCAAACAAGTAAAAGAGAGGGTTAAACTAAAAATGATGCATGCCCATGCCGTGGCTCCAGGGGGTAGTACCGTGGTCCGACCGCAGGGTGTCGCTGTGTAAACTACCATGGCGTGTATTTGTTTGTAGACTAAACTGAAATCTGACCTGAACATGCACTTACTTCACTTCACGCGACAGTTTAAAATGTTTGCACACACACACACATACACACGCACGTACACGCACTGATACAACAGGTTTCGGTGACGGTGATGATTGGAGGCGTAAAGAAATGCACAGTGTAGCACAAAATGTTTTCAGTCACATGTTTACTCTGTGTCATTATCAGGCCTGCCTTAAATTTTAAACAAATCTTTTTTTTTTTTTTTTTAGGACTAATCTTGTTTAAACGAGTTAAATCTGAACATGAACTCATTCTTTCAAGAAGTTCAATCCCGGGTTCGTACAAACTGGAATTTCCACGGGAAGAACGTTCAGGGAAAAGTGGTGAAAGGTCAGAGTTTGACCAGAACTGCAGAGAGAATCAGAAACAATGGAGGTCGGGCCTGTGGTCAGGTGGGTTGAAGGTAAACACAACAACGTGTCAGAGTTACCACGGAAACCTATTTTGAAAGTCACGACCGTGAGAATGGGACAAAGTTGACCACAGTCACCGCACGCGCAGCTCAGGTTACAGGTTCACGACTCAAATTCGACTCAGAACTTTTACATGAAATCAAACGTTCAGTCATCGGCTACTTTGGTCTTTTCTGTGAATATTTTTAGATAAAGTTTGATGTTAACTTTGACGCAGTTCTCTGGATATTTTTTTTTAATATATGAGTTTCTGGTTCCTGTGGTGTTGTTCGTCTATATCTGGGTTCTACACGGATCAGTTTCTAATGAACCCCACCCTCAC